ATATATATATATATATATATATATATATATATATATATAGGAAGAGAGAGAAAAGAGAGAAAGAGAGATAGATATAATAGATAGATATATGTCGTGTAACGATTTTGGGGTCCTTTCGTGTATGTCTGCAAACTTATACCTATGCTTATACACATGTCTGGGTGAAATACATACGTAACACCATGCAATTGCGTATGCATAAAGCTCGATGCGACCTCAGCCCGTTTAGTAGTCACTATTGCTAGCGCGAAGGTTAGCAGCTTCAGCAACGGCGACAGCTTTGGGTAGCTTAATTGAGGCATTCACCAACTTCCTCACGTGAGCTTGAGCACGTGCGCAATTCGTGTGTCCTCTATGCAAAGCCACGCTGGGCGGGCGTGTATATAATGGAGGGGGCGGGGCATATGACAGCATATGACAAGAATAAAGCGACAACAAGAGAGAACAAACATTTAAACTTTATATTCTTGTTGTTTGTGCACAGCTGGGTGTGTGCGGTGTACTTATGTGTTGCAGAGGAGTATCTGAACGGCATTTACAAGAAATTATCGGCAATACTAGGCGAAAGAGGGCAGAGAAACCTTAGGACTTTAGTAGTAGTAAATACATTTCGTGTTTATTTAACATAATTTTTTAATTGAAACGTTTCAAGTGCTTATGACTGTTGTCACGCACACGCGCACACACGTGCGCACACACGCACGCACACACGCACACACATACATACACACACACACACGCACGCACACGCGCACACGCAGTAGCGTAGTTACGGGGGGGCAAAGGGGGGCCATGCCCCCCCCCTGTTGATCCGAAAGTAAAAAAAAGGAAAAAAAGAAGATTTGTTCAACTAAAAAGAGAATTGTCGTAGTCAGAATGAAGACTGTACATGTACTCAAAAGTGCCTCAAATACCAACTCATGCGATCTACATTTTCAAGATTTTCTGGGAGAGGACACCCATACCCTCCGCCTGTTTTGCACCCCCCCCCCTCCTCGGAATCCTGGATCCGCCACTGAACAGTTACTTATCTTGGGAGCAGAGAACAACGAACAAAAATGTCGCCTCTTTGCATGGCGCCCATAACAAAGATTGCAGAGCTGACAGGTGGGAGAGCGTAGGATGTGGAGAGGGAAGCGGAGAAACGATTAAAATCAATACTTTAAGGTCATCCACTATTTTGCGCAGTTCGCTATTTTTGGCCCCCTTGTTAAAAAATCCTGGCTACGCCACTGCGCACACGCACACGTACACGCACACGCACGCACACGCACGCACACACATACGCACGCACATACGCACGCAGATATACGCATGCACCTCCCGTTGGCATAATCATCAGTATGTTGATGGTGGCCAATATAGCGTAGAAATAGAAAAAGAAAAAAATAGAAATGCATACACACACATACGCGTGCACGCACGCATATGTGCATACACTTGTTTTGCCGTGTCGTGATATGTTCAGCTGATATGTTGATATCAGGAGTGAATAATCTAGAGAATATCTATTAGAATATCCAATTCTAATATAATCAAGAGCTAATAGAATAGAATATTTATTATTATTCACTCCTGTTGATATATATTGTATATATATTACCCTGTATATTATTATATATATATTCGTATATATATATAATATACTGTATAGTATACCTAAAATACATATCTATTATATATAGGTAGTATATATGTATAATATATGTCTTAATATTGTAGGTGGATATGATGTGTTCTCAGGAATATCTCCACTATGTGATATCTTGATAATGACGTCATCTGATATTGTCTATAGTACGAGCCTATTGATTGGCTTGGTAG